AGAGAAGAATAGTCGACATAACCGCAGGAAACAAAGAGTCGATCTCACGTAAACAGAGGAGAGCATCCAAATGTCATAACTCCTATTTCATATTCAGTTATAGTCCCCCTTATTAATGAAGAAGCCTAACTATTAATGACAGGTTCTCTGCTGTCACATGCTGTTAAAACATTTCAATTAATGTATGTGACTTTATTGATCACCAATAATCAACGTCAGCATCATATTGGGCGATCCCTGGTCCTGATTATTAGAATACAGGAGCTTCAGATATTCTGACTGAAGGATAGTTTAATGCCGAGTGTAGAAGCTGCTGCTGTTAGTGTGTCCACCAGAGAGCCAATTTTAAGGGAGCCTTACTCAAAATGTTTGTTAATGTAATGTTAGAGTTGTGGAATTTTGTAAATATCATGCTCTGATATCCGGCATTGGTTGGACTCTATGAATGAAACTGAATATGAACAATCCTGTTCATCTGCCAGCCACACAATCACATAAATCTTCAAGACCCAGATCAAAAGCTTGTAAACAATTAGAAGAACAAGTGAAGCTCTGGTCCTGATAATTAGAATACAGGAGCTTCTCAGATGTTGGAATATTCAGATATTCTGTGCTGACTGTGATGATTCGAGGTAATGAGGCGGAAGCTGCTGCTGTTCACTGAAGAGCAGGAACGAGTTTTTCATAACCGACTTTTTAAAGGAGCCTCATAGTACGTGTCCACGTTTTTACATGCAATGCATCGCACCACTTCACAACATCACACACCTAATGGACGTGTCACTTGCAGGCCAATAGGTGGTGTGACGATGAGCGCCTACCTTCACCAAAAACCAAAAGTCCTGTAGGGGTGTCGGACCAACATGGCGGCTTTCTCTTTAGCTACGAAAACAAATCAGCGAAAAATATTTCTGAAAACATTTGAGGAAAGAAATTTTAGTTTACCAGCTAGTTTTGAGGTTTTCCGAAAGTTTCGCCTCATTTGCATAAAGCATCCGAGACCTGAACTTTATGCAAATGAGGCGCCGCAGCTAGCAGGCAACACAACACGACGCTACCAGAATGCAAGTGTTAAAGTGATGAACCCTGTGAAAATTACTGTTGTATAAAGTTGTGGGATATCCGTAAACGAAGGTGAACATGGACACAATAGCACAGTTCTCTAAGCCTCAGATCACAGCCCTGTTAACAATTAGAAGTAGACGCGAAGCCCCCCAACCGGTGACAGATGATCTGAAAGTGCCAGTCAGACTGAGTTCACACAGCGCTGTGTGACAGAGTCAGAAGACACCCAGCCTCTGCTCCCTGGGGTGTCCCAGGATGTGGTCTGCACACGCCTCCTCTCCCATGCAGCCTCCCGCCTCCCCGCTCAGCCTTGATCACGCCGGTTTGTCTCTGCAGCAGCGATATTTTGCACCGCCGAGCTTTAGAGGGGTGGGATGCTGGATGACATGAATCACGTCAACATGCTTGGAGGGGGGGGGGAGGAGGAGGTGGCAGCAGCCTAAGTGTATGCACACACACACACACACACAGACACAGCAACACACTGTCATACTGTACACTTCTCTCCATGACGCTCCCGCTTCCTCACATCCTCCACACACACTCATGCATAACGCTGCAGACCCCCTGTGGTGGCTTTGGCAACCCTTCGTCAGATCCAAACGTTTCCTCTCAAAGCAGAACCAAAGCCCACCACCATCGTCTGCCGCTGAATCCTCGGGGGCGCGTTCCCTTCCTGCCAGTTTGTTCAAGTCGGGATTAAAAAGACGAGCTGACCTACATAGTACTTTTACTTTTATAAAAAAAATAAAAAAAACTTGGTAAGAACTTGGTGAACTTAGGCTGAGAGTACGCTACATTGAATGCTTCATAATAACATGACGTCTTAACTGAAAAGCAGGAAAATGAAGTATTTAACCTCCATTGTATCGATAGAAACGCGTTTTTTTTCCTACAAGGACAAGTCGGCCTCTCTCCTGCAGCCAGTTCTCCTTCTAAATACTGAAGAGTGAATTCTTCGAGGCTGGGTAAAGAAAAAGCAGCCCACATGCCACTCCAAAACCTCAGGGCCCTCTCCACAACCACATCCAGTCTTCATCACGCTCACACCGGCTCTCCGGCTCAGTCTGGGGAATATAATGAGGGCAGCTGTGCACAAAGAGGTGTCAAACGGAGCGAGGTGGAGAGCCGAGGACCAACAAGTGTCATCATGGGTGACTGGCCAAAGCTTTTTCCTGCAATCTCAACCAAACCAAGGACGGGAGCGCAGAAACCAGGAGGCCATCTTGAAGTGTTTATCCTTCAGCGTGTTGGCCAGCAGCAGCAGCAGCAGCAGCTCTTTGCCTCTTCCAGACATAAACTCGCTTCGCTTTATGAGGTGTGATGGGCAGAAACCCTGCAGCTCGTATAAACACTGTCACTGTTACATGAACAGACAATTAAGAAACAGGTCGCCGTTATGCAACACGCTAAATGTTGTTTACTATAAGTGCTAAGCTGTGTGTTGTCTGGATATCTTAAAGGTGAATAGCACCAAAACTCAAACTTAAATCCAGTAAATATTGAATATATAGACAATTTACAGTTTTTCTTATTTACATCTACGTCTAGTTTTATTAGTTTTATTGAATTAATATGAATGTTTGCAACACTGTAAGAAAGCGATGAGTTTTCACTTCTTTTCCTAATGAATTAGCCAAAATAAACATTTAAATCATATAATTCTACTTTACAGTGCCAATAAAAAGTATACGTCCTTCTTGGAAGTTTACTTTTTTATCCTTTCAACAATGAATCATGATAAATTCAATTTGGCTTTTTTGGACAAGAATTTCTCCCCATAAAAGACTCTTTCATGTCAAAGTGAGAACAGATTTCTACAAACTTAAGTTAATTACCTAAAAATATAAACTGTAAAGTAAGTGGCTGACCTAATTCAAAACCAGCCAATTGGTGCTGGAAGTCACACAGTTATTAAAATAGAGATTATCTGAGCGCAGTTAATGTGTCTCTGTGATTGCTGTAGTTACGATTAAAGGTGCATCTGCTAAATCCTGACTTAGAGGAGGGCTCATTCTTATGCAGTCACTTATCTTACATTTTATATTTTTAATTAATTGACATTTAAATTGACACATTTCTTGGCAGAAATCTGTTTTCAGAGTCTTTTTTTGTAACTTCTTGTCAAAAAAAGCCAAATTATATTCACCATGATTCAATGTGATGTACTGTATTTTTAGAATATAGATTGAAAAAGATTTAAATTGCTGCTCTTTGGATACAATCAAGACATAAGAACATAATATCGTAGGCCTTAATGTAAAGCATAATTTTAAAAGAGCTGCCTGTTTCATGTTGTTTAGTTTTTTAAAGGAACATTAATTATAATTCCTGTAGAGGTGAAATTCATCATCATTACATTGTGATGCTACAAAAGGTATTAAAGTCGTGGACAGGTTAGATAATGAGACAGAATATTAATTTTATACAGGACGTTATTTGGTGCTTATTAAATGTGCAACAGGCAAAGCAGCACACAGTACAGGAGAGGGACAACTACGCTTCATTGTTAGTTTTTTATACGTCTTTTAAGGGATTATATGCTCAGACTGTCGCTGTGGGACCGACACGTGTTCGTCATTATCTAGTACGGATTCAAAGTGCGACTGAGGGAATGAAAGTGTGACAGTCCAGCCTTTCACCAGCAGCCTTTTTTCCCTCTTTTTGAGCCTCAGAACAGAAGCAGCACATGATATACTGTATATACAGTACAGATCCACAGCCTCTCCGCCTGCAGGCTCCACTTTCAAAAGCCTCAATTTTCTCTCTACAGTTTTCAAGAACATAATGTCGACATCGCTCTGTGAAGAGGGGGAGATATTCCCTCTCGCTGAGCCTTCATCCGCCTTACATTAAAATGTTGTGAAAAGCCCCGCGATGTAAACATTCGTAAACAGCGCTTTCCCTCTTTGAAAAGTTAATGTGCAACTTTGAAATGTCGGGTTGTGGGTATCTGCTTCCACTCTAGTTTTCCATTTACTGTAATCTATTTTCCTTATGAATAGAGTATCTCTGCCTCTTTCTCTCTCTCTGTAGTAGCTACTGATAGAGCGCCACATACTGAGCAGTAGCTTCTCTATAGATTTGTCCTATTGTAGAGGTCAGTGTCTGTTTTTCTAATAGAATCTTCTCTCTCTTTCTTTTCACCCTTCCCAATCCCATCCTTGTTGCACTTCCATCACCTTTTTTTCCCCTCCTCCCTCATTATCATCCTTCAATTTTTAACGCATTAACCATATTTTTTTTTCCTCCTCTGCGTCCCTCCCTGCATCCCGTTGTGTCTGATTCCATCACGCTTGTCGTTGTTTTTTTTGTTTTTTTTAATTTTGGTCATTTTAATTTGTGTGCATGCATGCGGGTTTACTGCCTGATGTGCAGACCCCATAGACCCCGATGTTGACCTGTACGAACTGTTCCATGCTCCGTACACCCCAGTCCCAGACCCCATGCCCATGATGCCACCCGTGGGGGTTCAGGCCTCTGTGCTGAGCCACGACACCATCAAGGTGACCTGGGCCGACAACTCGCTGCCCAAGAGCCAAAAGATCACAGATAACCGCTACTACACGGTGCGATGGAAGACCAACATCCCTGCCAACACTAAAGTGAAGGTAAGAGGTTCTTCCTTGACAATCACTTCCTGCTTATATGTGTGTTTGTTCAATTTAGGAAGCCTAAAATATTTCTGATTTTAATATTTAGGGGGATTTTTCCAACAAAGAAACCATTTTAAGCCAGTTTCCAAATGACCACAAGTGTTGCCAGTGCTGGGAAAAAAATGTGGCTCTATTAAAATGAGAATCAGACATACTTTATGAATGTCATAGGGGAAGTTGCTCCTGTTCAAATCTTAGAAATGTAAGCAGTTTTAAAAAATACAAGTTAAACTTGAGTAGAAAAATATGTTTTAAAAATATACATATAAGTAGGAAAGTATGCGCTTAAAATGTAAACATGTAAATTGTACTTCATAATAAGTATGCAGTCTTCATACAACACACAGATATTTAACTATTTACATTTTTACAGCCTTTGCAGAGTGGCCGTTTTATCACACATTATTACTAAAAAGATGCTTCACCATGTTGAATTTATCTTATCAATAAAGACTAGATGTTTTGCTGCGTAAGGCTGTACACGCCCTGCAGTTCAGCAGAGTTAAGTGGAAAGTTCATGAATTTTTTGTCACGTGATTATTGGTTGCAGCCGAGTCACTAATGGCTTTATAGTTCTGCCAAGTAGTGCAGAACTGTTGTTTTTTACAGAATCTGTTGAGCCCCAACTGGTTTTTTTTCCAACTAATTTTTAAATGAGACATGTAGCATAGCAGGATTTTGATGAAATGCGACCATTTTAAGCTTAGATTTGATCAAGTTTTCTGATGAAACAGCATGTTACAGATGGACCAACGGAAAGGTCCACATCTGACTATTCTCACTATTTTTACAGTTTCTCTTGATGGAACAGGGTGTAACTTTGTCGTTTTTTATTTTCTTTTATTTCATTTAAAATACAACATGCCTTTCAAACCAGAGGATTAAACTTAGAATGAGTTGGACGTATTGGTAGACCTTTTTTTTTCATGCTTAGCTCAGCACTTTTGAGCTGAACTAACTGGTTTACCTCTCGGTGTAATCCACTCGAGAACAACTCAAATTGTTTCACTGTGGTCAACCTTTAGTGATACGCTTTCATTTAATATAACAAGAATTCAGTGTGTCTTCGTGCGGTGGGACTTTGTGCATTCCTTCAGGCCTGCACTTACCACAGAGATGTATTGATGTGCTGGAAATATAAAGTAATGTCATATGAGGGTGTATAATGAAATATTCCCACAGCAGCTCCTGAGCTTAGGGGCAGCACACTGCTGCTATTTGTTCCACAGTAATAATCTACTTTCATTCAACTTTCAACGCACCATAAGGAGAAAGAGATGCTCTGCGCTTTTATGTTTTTAACTGAGGAATCCTGACTCTTAATATTGTTTTATGTGGAGTTAGCAACAGTTCACAGGATCAAGTATTACCAGTGTGCTCTCTTTTTAACAGCTGGATAGCGACTAACAGCCAAATAGAGTCATGTTCTTTTAATAAAGAAGTCTGTCAGTAATTGGCTTTTTTGCATCTTGCCATGAGCAACTGCAATCTGATTTCATGCTGTGCGGAGTGAAAATAGGCGTCGATGCTGTGAAGTTGGAGGTGCGTGGTTCCATTACTCGCTGAAATATTAAAAACCGATCCCCTCTCAGAAAATATGTCGCATTTGTACACAAAACTGTTGCGTTTCCTGTGGCTGCTGTTTGTTTCTTGCCAGATGAAAACTAGCAGCAGCGGGAAATATGTGGTTTGCATTAGCAGCAACAGTTCTGGTGCTGCTGTAGGAGGCTGAACGGTAAACAGTGAGGCCGGATTATCTGCATGTATTGTTTCCTGTGAATCGCTGCGGTGTGGGTGGGCGTTTGAATCCAGCAGCGTTAATGACTGATACTGAAACTAACAAAGGACACCGTTACGCTGGATCAATCAAACTTAAAGAGCAACTTGCAGACTGATGACGATCGTTTGAAAAGTTAACGTCTGATTTTATGTTTAAAGGCCAAACTTCAGATGGAGAAGTAGACATTCTGAGCACTTCTTTTTGAATTTTTTCTCAGTGTCACATTACATCGCAGCCTATCGAGTCCACACTTTTCCTAACTGCTACTTAGCAAACTACTAACAAATCAGCTTTTGTGCAGACTTCACTTTTATCTGGACGTTAATTCACTAGTGTCACCGACCTGCAAGTTGCTCTTAAATTTCTGCTCTTTTGTACGAGTGCAGTTCAGAAACTGACAAGCTGATTATACAATTTTAGAAAATGATTTTTATTTTTTTATTTTTTTAAGAGCGATGAGGAACAGAGAGGTGGAGAAATGTATACGGAGTTCAGCATGAAAATGTGTAAGAATTTGAAATTAAATCACTTTTTTTTTCAACCTTCTGAACTCCCCAAGATGGCAGATTTGAAATCCTGTTATCTTTGGAAAAAAAATAGTAATTCAATTACTGGTCAGAGCTGGATTGTTCATCAAACCACTCGTATGTGAAGGAGCAGCTCCATCTAAAAACTCAACTAAGTCTAAGTTTAAAAGTATCATATTTCCTTAAAATTTATTCAACATGTCTCATTTAATAATTTCAATAATAATCAACCAAAAAAAAAGCATTTGTACAAACCTGTTTGTATAAAAACCAAAAAATTCTGCGCTTCTTAGAGCAACCTTGAAGCCATTAGTGACTCAGCTGCGACCAGTTGTTACTTGACAAAAATTCAGGGACTTTTCAGCTGAACTGAAGGCAGTGCTTCCACTGTGGTAAAGAACCTGTAGTATTTAGAGTCACCTTTTTATCCAGCACTGTTGACACCTGAGAGCGCTTCAAAAAATGTTGATTGTAGGTTTTTTCAATTTTTGCAAAACAAGTAATCAAAGAAATGTTGTTGTATTTGTTTTTTATGATTAATCGCATCATATCTTTGTCACACTAAGACTATTCTAGTTCTTTCTACCTTCAGTCATGGTTGTGCTGTTTCCATGGAGGTGCAGGACTTTATATTGCAAAGAAAAAGGGGGGGAAATGGGATAGGAGCAGGGGGAAAAAAATCCCCAAAACTGCTTGGGTATTGGTAGATCCTTAGATTTGACAAGTTGAAAATGTAATGATGTAAAATGATTAAAAGGATTTGTAGCTGAATGATCGGTTATTGAATTACAATCCTAAACACGATCATTGCTGTTCGTTCTTGTTCGGTGAAAGTGCAGCTGCGGATCATTGCGGAGGATCAGTGTCATCCACATGCGAAGCTCGTGTCGTTCTCAGCGAAGAGTTAAAAATATTTGCGGTGACAGTGAGCCGAGCCTGAAACAAGGTGTTTGAGATGCAGCTTCTGATTCCTGACCCGCAGCTCAATTATGGTGATTACTCATCTCCAAACAACGGCTGATGTGTGCCTTGTTGTTCTCATGCATGTGTGCAAACCTGTGACCGAGCAGGAGCTTCGATAAAGGCCTGCGTTTTCTGATAAATTATTCAACAAGGACAAGACAAACTGAGAACCAGAAGAAGAGGGTGTAGATCTGACGGTGCATTCTACACACAGCCGACTCGGTAGTCAGGTCTTGTGCGGGATGCTGCCACGCTGCTCTTTCTGTCGGTCGCCGGCCTCGACACGCACGAGCTCCAAGCTGCTATTTATCTGAAGAGATTTCTGATTTATGATGCCACAGATTCATTACCAGAAGTGAATCTGCACCGCTCAGCCTGCTGCCATGACTCGATGCTCAAATTGGTTTGATTCTCGCTCTGTGACAGTAATTAAGGAGTCGCACGGGCTCATTATGTTTCTGTCCCATTAACGAAATCCAATATATTAACAAGTCTATTAGAGAGGCTCTGAAAACGACATCTTGTACATCCTGTTGTATTTATGTAAGCGACGCTGTACCGGAGCGGGGCGAGCAACAGGAACGCCTTCACCTTAATGCCTCTCTTGGAGCGAGGCGAGCCAGACAGGCTTGTACATTATTGAAGGGATGACTGCTCTCAAACCGGCTGCATGTTTCCAAAGAACACAGTGTTTTCTTCTCCTATCCTACTGCCCTCCATTTGACAGCCCCCGAAGGAGATCTGCACTTTTGTCATAGCACGCAACGTTATAGATAGGACGCCTGCAAACCTCACTACTGCTGCTTCATTTCCCACCAAGCTAAAGCTTTTTTTTTCCGTCAGTCCAAGCTGGCTGCGATCAACGTGAACGGTTACATAACTCTTGGTTTTTTAATTTGATGACTGTTAACTATTAAGGCGTTGGTGTGGTGTTTTGTTCTGCTTACAGCTGGTTTAGAACGGCTGCACTCTCTGTGTGGCGCTGAACGTCCAGATGTCAGTTCATTAGGTACCAAACGAACGCTAATGCAGCCCCGCAGCAAAACGCCACCTTCATGAGGGTTTTAATGTTGGGTTCTTGTTGGAAGTGTTTTATAAAAGCTGCAGTTTGTGGTCCTGTTGAGCCGCGTTTCATTATTCAGAGAGGTGCATCTGCTCTTTAGCCTGCTTTCACTGAGATAAGATACACAAAGTACATATAGGGTGAACAAAATAATAGGAAATCTTTATATATAGGGTGTATATATACAAAATACTCAACGTTCTTTTCAGCTCTGTACAACTAAACTACATCCTTCAAATGAACTGTGCGGTTAAATTTACACCACACAAAACTCCACTCACAAGATATGACTTATTTTATTGCAGGACTGTTGCATTAGACAGCATTAGTTTTAAACAGCTGGAGCTACTAAAAGTGTTTATCAGACAAACACGCTCATCAGAAATGTAAAAGATTCTGGTTGCACTCATTGATCAGTACGTAATGTAACCTGAACTCCGCCAGACATTCAGGCTGGTATTTATTTTTAGAGCTACTATGATTAGTCTCGCTTTTATGAGTCTTCAGTAACAATTTTTATAATGTAATAACAGTTTAAATAATTTATAATAATAATAATAACTTTATTTTAATAGCGCAGTTCGTAAACCAAGTGCTGCTCAAAGTGCTTTGCATCGATATCTAGTGTTTTTTGTGTTTTAATGTCATGTAAAGTACTTTTGTTGGTCCAGTTTTGAAATGTTCTACAGAAATAAAGTTTGTTATTATAGTTTATTATCTTATAAAGGCTTGCTTTTCTGTAGTTTTATGTAATTTAGTCGTATCAGACCTATTTAGTATTTTTATGTTGTATTTTATTGACTGTATTTTATCACTATTATTTTTCCATGTATATTTTTACTCGCTTTTATTGATGTAAAGCACTTTGAGTTGCTGTATTAATATTATAAGTGCTACTTAAACTGTTACTCCGTTAGAAAAACAGTTGCCGTTCACTGAAGACTCATATAAACGAGACTAATTATAGTAGCTCTAAAAATAATGACCAGTCTGAACGTCTGGCAGAGTTTAGGTTGCATTACGCGCTGATCAATGAGTGGAACCAGAATCTTTAACGTCTCTGATGAGCATGTGCGTCTAAAATACACTCAGCTGTCACTTTATTGGCTCCACCTCTCTAAAACTGCAGGCTAGCAATATGTCACACTGAAAATGTCAAGTTTTGTCTTTGGATCGTGCTGTCGGGCGGCGCTGTTAGTTTTTGAAGTAAATTATCCGTTTTTATCTCAGTGCTCGTCTCCCTGAGTGCAAAAAAACATGCCGCCGTCAGTATTTCGAGTGAACCCCAAAGTTGCATGTTTCGCTTAGCTCCACCCACGATGACTGTGATTGGTTTACAGAAATATGAACAAGCCATTAGTGTTTATTTCCCACTTATAGCAGGATGATCGTGAGTCCATTGTGTTCTACAGAATGAGCTAACAAAGCAAGACTAAGCAAAACAAGGCATTTTTAAACACCACCTTGGTCTCAAAGCAATTGCGATTACCATATTTTTCAATTTGTAGACTAAAATTATACTAAATAAACATAGAACATCATCAGCAGACAAACTGATTCATATCATTAATTGATTGTCATAGTGGACAGAACACTCTCAACTTCCAGCCATCACACAAACTGAACCATTGCTTAATATTTGTTGTGTTTGTTTGCGTGTCCCCCCCCCAGATGGCCAACACCACCAGCCTGAACCACATGGTGACGGGTCTGAAGCCCAACACGCTGTACGAGTTCTCCGTCATGGTGACCAAAAGCCGGCGCACCAGCACGTGGAGCATGACGGCGCAGGGCACCACCTTCGAGACCAGTAGGAGCAGCACAAACACACAAACACTGACGACAACCGTGCCTGAACACACAGAAACACAAAAACATAAAGCGACAACACCTGCAGTGTGACGAGCCCCTGGCTGGCCGGGAGTAACGTTTGACTTTTTGCAGCCCAAATGGAAGAAGGGGACTCGCCTGGGGAGTATCAAGCAGTGACTGCACAGTATAATATAGGCCCAATGCCCTGACAGGTATTTATCAGTAGATGTTAACTCCAAGTGGAACCTGCAGCAAATTTGGTGATTGCTGACAATAATTTCAGCTCTGCTCTGCTGTTAGTTGGACTAACCGCGCTTCCCTGCAAAATGCGCAATCAAGACTAATTCGGAAACAATAAACGTAATGATAATGATACCAGCAATGCAGTTCTGTGTTCAAATGAACGGTTTGTTCACGTCTTTCTCCTTGATTTGCAGACCCATGGCCAGGTGTCTCAGCTTGAGGAGCCACAAACCAAGACCTGACTCTTTTATGGGTTCCGGCTAATAGAACAAAACACATTCTGTTTGGTTTATTGTTCATTTACTGACTCGTTGCTATAAACTAGGGCGGGCGCACGCTCTTGTGACCTTTTGTTTGGCACAATATCTGCACGATGACAATAAATGATTACCGCTTCCCCCGAACAAGCTGGATTAAACAAATGAATTGACTGTATCGGTGTTAAAATTACTCATTGTGTCACTATGCCAACATACACTTACTTTACATCCATCTCCCGTCCTGTATTGAAACTATACAATCCCCTGTGTATTTGCTCAAGGCTCCTGCATTTGCTGCATAGCTAATAGTTATTAAAATTTGCAAGCCTGGAAGCTGTCAGCGCCCATACTTCATTGTAACGCGTTCTTGCCGAGCTAAAGGATGCTTCAGAATTAACCTGACATTAAAACCAAAAAAGTAATTTTCTTCCACAGAGATGCGTTATTGGAGATTTATTGGTCTTTTAACGAGAAGTGGAGCTTCTTAATTTCAGAAAAGAGAAAGGAAGAGTTTTTTTTTTACTTCAGCCCAGCCAGGGGTTTGTCTCACAAGTGAGCAAGTGGATGTGCAAGGTCATAAACAGACACACACGTACTTATATATACAATATAACCTGACACATGCAAGTAATAGGCTATGGATCATTGTTTTAGTGCATTACGGACACTTTTTAACATAAAAAGTAAACTTGTGACACACACACAGTTTATATATATTCTACAGTAAAGAAAAAATAGTAGTCAGTCCACTATCTTTTACATTTAAACTACATAAACCATGTACTATCATGACCCTTCATCTGACTTCTTCATCAACACAACAAATGTTCTTTCTGCCCGTCACAGTTCCCAGCTCCTCCCCGAAAGACGTGACTGTGGTGAGCAAAGAGAACAAACCTCGCACCATAATCGTCAACTGGCAGCCTCCCTCCGAAGCCAACGGAAAAATCACTGGTGAGTCTCTGTTGTGTGCCGCACGTGTTGCGGTTTGCAGATTCCTGACTTGTTTTTCAATTTTCACTGTTAAAACCTTTTTTCTAGCAGTTCCCTCCACTAAACGCAGAGTAATGAAATCACAATTAAGCCGAGCATTGATCTACACAGAGAGAATATGTGTGTAAACTGCCCAAAGAAAATGGACTTTTTAGAGTTTTTTTTGCAGCGCTGGTTAGAGAGGAACCTCCATCTCCATCTGATCACTTAAACGCTCATGTAAACCGCATAAATCCAATAAAGAGTGTGATACACGACTCTTAATGTGCTTAAAGCTACCGAATCCTAAACAATCCTTCTTTGCAGGCTACATCATCTACTACAGCACAGATGTGAACGCTGAGGTCCACGATTGGGTCATTGAGCCAGTGGTGGGAAACCGGCTGACGCACCAGATCCAGGAGCTGACGCTGGACACCACCTACTACTTCAAGATCCAGGCCCGGAACTCAAAGGGGATGGGCCCCATGTCTGAGGCCGTGCACTTCCGCACTCCAAAGAGTAAGTTTGCATGATGGGATGGAGGCCGAGATCGGAGACGGCGTCCTGCAGATCGACAGTTCACTTGAAAAGAGAAAAACTTAGGATCTACTTCTTGTGGAGTATTTGGTGAAGAAGTTAAAAATCTTGCAACTAAAGAGCCACATAGGTATTGTAGGAGTTTCAAATCTTTAAGAAGAGAAAGAAACATATGCTAGATGTGTAAATCGACAGCTTCCTAAAACAGCATACCTGCTGTAACAGCATCCTTAGATGATAAGACAATCACACAATGTGTCCAAAAGGGGTAAAAGTTATCCAAAATGACTTCAAATGTGTCCAAAATTACTAAAATGATCAAAAATAACTTTAGACCTGTCATAAATTATACAAAAATGTCTAAAATTACTTGAAATAGTCACAAATTATGCAAATTGTCTAAAATAATTTAAAAGTCGAGAGAGGATAAGAAAAGCCAAGATAAGATAATCCTGACTTGATCCTTTATTGATCCAACAGCGCAGAACTTTGCAGTGTTACAACAGTAGCGCAAAAAATGTAGGGGCATCCGTTAAAAATATAAAATTTACCTTTGTGCTGTTGATATTATACATATTCTAGATTGTCAGAGCTTTGGGTTTGTTAGTTGTGAAATTATTTTGCCTTCAAGTGTCTGAAAGTCGACAAATGTAGTTTTGAGATTTTACTTTAACTGACACAACAAATGTCCACAAATAGTTACAACAAACTGGTGACAAATCAAAGGAAAACACAACATAATGTATCTTGTTAAGGTGTTGCACCACCAGAACCTCTTCAGTGCACCTCAGTATTGATTCTCCAAAGTATCTGGAACCCTAACTGGATTGATGAACACCTTTCTTGTGTGTTTTGATGACGGTGGTGGAGAGACATCTGTCCAGAATCTCCTGTAGGAGCTCAGTTTGGTTGAGATCTTGTGACTGCAAAGGTCATAACATATGATTCATTATTATTTTTATGCTCATCAAACCATTCAGTGCTCTATAGATGGGAGCTTTGTCGTCCTGGAAGAGACCCACTTTCATGAGGGTTGAAATTATTCGTCACAGGAATAATTCTATTGCAGTGATGCTTCCTTCTAAGGGAGATAAACGGACCCAAACCATGTCAGCAAAATGCCTCCGACAGTCCAACAGAACCAGCAGATATACTCGCTGCAGGGGTCAGAGGTTCAGCGTTTTCCTTTAATTTGTCATCCGTTTGTTGTATCTTCAAAATGAGATCTGACAGAACTTCCTGTTATCACATCGTAAATCAAAGTCTTAGATTGATGTTGCTCTCCAAGATTAGATTTTCCCTCGATGGGCCGTTCCTGGCTTAAATGAATTTCCTACTAAACTACAAATTTGCCTTGTGAGAAAATCCCTGGAGAGCTGAGACGGCGATGCTTCCCGAGCTTTGTTGATTGGTTCTGGATGACCCAATTACTGCATCAAATCTGCATCTAGTCTACGCGTACAGAGAAACCTAAACAAACAGGTTCAGTTTGGAGGTTTTACATGCACCTTACTTGAATATTTTAATGTGGCTGTATTCCTTTGGGGTTTTATTTTCTCTGGGGATCTTGAGTAAAATATTTGAGGACTTAAAATCAATATTATTTTGAAGGTAGAGAGCTGGTTAAAAGTATATTTAGATGCTTTGCTCTTATTATCTGCTTGGCTGTGTCTGTAGCACACTCAGCTGTTTGGTTTTCTCACTATTTTTCATCCTTGTAGTTGCGCCCCTCTCCTCCTCCTCCTCCTCCTCCTCACTATCCCCATCTCTCGCTTTATTTCAGTCTCCCTTGCTGCTCTTTTCAGCTAACCAGTTTTTTGCTTTTTATTGTCTCTCCCTCCCTGCTCTCCTTTGGCCTGTTAAGCTGAGTCCTCTGACAAAATGGCTAATGACCAAGGTAAACTCCCTCTCCACACTTTATCACTGCTTACTGCACCACCACTGTGTCTCGTCTTTCGAAGGATTTTCCATCTTCTGGGCTGATGAAAACTTGGGCTGCATGTCTGGCAAAAATCTTGTCTGTGCCTGTGTACATTTTCTGATTATTATGTATTTCATGAAGGTGTGAAAGACGCATAAATGTGACGGGGGAAGAAGCCATTAAAATCACCTTTTTTCAACTATTTTTTCTGTTTCGAATCAGCTTCAAATCCACCAAAGCCAGGACCTCCGGGACACCATCCACCAGTGGACCCTGGGATGCCACTTGGTAAGATTTTAATCCCACCACTCTTCTTTAATAGAAAGTCCTGCTCAGCTTATCAGTCAGACACTTCAACAAATAAAATCAGGATCTGGCTCCTGTCTCCCAAAAGCATTGTAAAGATGATCATTAAATCCAGCCTTCTCTAACTGAAGAAGCTCTAAGAAGTGATTGTAGGTTAATGAGATATCAGTTACAGGTGGCTAACGGCATCTCAGAATGTAGTTGTAGCTGCAGAAATAGCCACAAACTATGAGTTTTATTTTATATAGCATTTGGTGTAAAATACATGATGTTTAAAATAGAAAATGAAACTACATTATCACAAACACATGCTATAAATACATTCTTTGGATGACATTCAACAATTTTTTTTTTTTTAGCAAAATCTATTCCAGAATCTTGCTGTTTTGACTCTAAACTTAAGTGCAAATGATCCAAAATGATTTAGAATTTATCCAAAATTGGTCAAAATCATCTAAAATACCTTGAAACATGGTCAGAGTTACTCAGAATATGTTAATTGGCATAAAACCTAACCACAATTTGCCCAAATACCTAAAAATTTGTCCAAAATGAGTAAAAATTCTACAAAATTATTATTATATAAATAATAATAGATAAATTATTATTATCTTCTCATCCACAATTACTAAAAATTGTCTAAAATTACTTGAAATATGTCAAGAAACATGACACAATTTATCCAAAATGAGTAAAAAATTGTCCTAAATCACCTAAAACTTGTCTGAAATTACTTTTTGTCCAAAATAACTTCAAACTTGTCCAAAGCAACAGTTTGTCTAAAATGAGTAAAAATTGTCCAAAAGGAGTTAAAACCTGTCCAAAATGAGTAGAACATTGCTCTAAATGTTGTAAACCTTGTCTCAAATTACTCATCATTTGACCAGAGCAAGTAAAATTTGTCCAAAACAACTTAAAACTGTAGCTATAAAATGAAAAACAGTGCAAAATTGTGGAACAAGGGTAGTACTGGGGCCATAAGACAGTTCCTGTGCCCAGAATGTTGAAAACCTTATTTATTTATTTTTTGTTTGTGTTTTTTGTAGGGACAATACAGTTTCACATAGTTCCAATACAGAATCTTACAAACAGTACAAAAAAAATAATCATGACAAAATACATGAATTGTGATGCATTAGGGAATAAAATGGATCCATGTGGCTCCTTATTATTATTGTATGTAGATGCTGCAGAGCTCTCTTGGGAATGACTCTCCAGTTTCTTCAAAGATGTATTCATACAAGTATTATTTTATAAACGCATTTAGTCTAATCCAGTTTTTTTCTGCTCTCGAGGTAAACCAGGGGTCGGAAGCGGTGAAAATCACATCCTGGTCATCGTCATCATCATCTCAGTGGGAGCCTTCACCATCATCGTGGTGGTGGTGGGAGCCTTCCTGTGCACACGGCGGACCACGTCCCACCAGAAGAAGTAAGAGGCGTTGAGAACGTCTAACCCGACTACCACCCTCCCTGAATTACTCTAACACCACGTAATACTCAATACGTGTGAGAAAAGCAGCATCGAGGACCTTGAGTCCACTTGTGGAGTTATTGTACGTCACTCAGAGCAGTTTACAAGAAGCCAAACTGGTCTCAAAGTCAACTTAACATTCTTTACGATGCCCAACCCAGATTTCACAAAAGTCAGATTATCACCTGATGCTCACATCCTGTCATGAGCTGCATCGCCACGTTTTGTATAATCATCCTCACAGTCTTTTTTATTATTATTAAACTGAAACCACATACACATAACAGCCACTTTATTAAGCACGCCTCATGAAATCTAATCCAGCTCTGCCATAAATTCGACTGTAATGAAGCTTCTATATGTTCACATTTTGTTGACGCTGCCATAAAGGTGGTAATTTTGCTTTATATTTTTTATGTAAAGTAGATAGAATAGATACTACTACTGCCTTGAACTGCATTATATTTAAAAGTGTTCTTAGTATTTTGTCCATCATGTTAACATAAATGAGTGGGGTAATATATAGTCGTATTAGGAACACTTTTAGATATAATGCAGCCCAGTGCACCTCAGTAATAAACATACAGTAGAACGATCCCCTTTTTTGACAACAAGAGGTTAGAATTTCTAGCAGAGCTGTTGGATTTCACAGGAGTAATTATTGTCACAGAACATCCTTATCAAAGCTTCATTACAGACTTCACATACTGAGCATCTGTTTCATGTGTCACAAGATCTAATTGACCCACATTGCCTTTTCTCATGTGCATGTATCACCAGTACAGATTATTATTTCACTCTCTTAAATAATCACTATGTCTTAGCTTCTGTGGTTGCTTATTTCAGCATGCATATTGAAAATGTCCTGCTTCAATGCACAGTTTATTATACTTTCCAACAGAGGTTCAATCACACTTTTACCTTCATCTCTTCAATCCTCCGTGCTCCTTTTCTAAAACACATCTTCGCCTGCAGCTCGGCTTCCCTCCCTCCTCTACTCTTCCTTCCCTCTGTAAATGAGCGCAGCGTTTCACCGTCAGCTCTGTGTTCTCTCCTCCCGCAGAAAGCGAGCCGCCTCAAAGTCCTCAAACGGCTCCCACAAGTACAAGGGAAACTCCAAAGACCTGAAGCCGCCCGATCTTTGGATCCACCACGAGAGGCTGGAGCTGAAACCCATGGACAAGTCGCCGGAGCCCAACCCAGTCATGACCGAGACGCCGATCCCTCGCACGTCGCAGGACATCACGCCGGCCGACAGCGGCCTGGAGAGCAACCCCCACCTGCAGCAGAGGCGCAACTCCTACCGTGGTCAGTCATGCCCAAGGGGGGGAGACGACTTACAATTTGATGTTTTGGGAATGAGATCAAAAGGAAATGTCACCGTCTGTGCCGGAGCAAACGGCTTAAGTTTGGCTGGCAGATGGGAAACTACATTCTGAGAGCTTGAGTAAGAAAACAGCTGAAATGAGCTTCAGGTTTGGAGTCCTGAAGATACTGAGATGGTGATGGTTGTCTTTGCTGTTGTTTATCACGCTAAACATTTCATGCCGTTTTCACTCATTCCCTGTCATGATGCTGCAACTTACTGCAAGTTCAGTGAATCCACTCAGTCCAATCAGTTCATAACAAAAGTAAGCTAATAGTGATATTTAGAAATGCAATCACAACCCAGTGGTGTCAAATTGATTGAGGTGGATCGTTCACACACAAAAAAACAAAACAGAGTAGCAGCTCTTTCTGATTGGCTGGTTTCCACCGTACCTTTTAGGCCACGAATCAGAGGACAGCATGTCTACACTAGCAGGCCGACGAGGGATGAGGCCTAAAATGATGATGCCTTTTGACGCGCAGCCGCCTCAGCGTAAGTGTGTGTGAGTGTGTGGTTTGTGAGTTTGCAAGCAGCAGATTTGGAGAAAATTTGGAAAATTAGAGCACCAGGATTTCAAATACACCTTATGGTACTGCTAATGTAGAGAACAACTCCATTTCATGCTTCTCATAAAATGTTCATTCACATTTGTTTTCTGAATATCTTCCTTACTGAGTTTGCTGATTGAGTAACGTACAGAGATTGTTGATTTTATTTTTTTATGTCAGAAAGCTGCATGTGTGTATCTCTCTAGTAAAACCCTCACATCCTTCATCATTATTTCGCCTGGTAAACATCTCATCTTGTGTGTGTGTGTTGTGCGTTTGTGTTTCCATGTCCATTTCCACCCGCAGCTGTGATTAGTGCTCACCCCATCCATTCCCTTGATAACCATCACCACCATTATCACATGGGCAGCCTGGCGTCGCCGACACGCAGCTACCTCTACCACCAGGGCAGCGGGCACCCTCGCCCTCACGCCTGTGCCACCCCCATCTCCCATCTAGACAGGGTGGACTCCACAGGTGAGACTCGGAGGAGGACAGGGCAGCCTTACCTCACGGTCATTTTACATTCACATGCCGCCGCCATCTTATTGCGTTCATATTTTAGTTTTGCATAGTGTTACTAACTCTTCCTCTCTGGCCTTCCTGTATTCTGAAATTATTTCCCTATGCTCTCTATTACTCACCTCAACTTTTACCAAATTCATGTTTTTTAGCAGGAATGCAGGCAGATGGGGTAAAGACACAGCATTTTCTTTTTATTTGAATTAGAGAGCAAGCTATTACAATTCCAAAGCATGCAGCCTTGTTTATGTGTTGTTTTTAAGGACCTTATTACTTTTCCAATATTACATTTCTTGGAGAGTTTACTGTTTGTAATTATCTTCACATCACTTCATAAAAAAAGAGTAAAAAGAAAAGTAGATTGAGAGAGCCAGATGCATCTATTTACAGGTAAGTTCAAGTAATATCAGACAGACTTTATGGGTCTACTTGTTCCAGATCTGATAAAAAACTTATCTTTTTGCACTCTTATGGAAAATGTCAACTTTTCCACGATGTACACTTCATGTACAATCCATCCCTAAATGGTGGATGGTTCTACTTTTAACCTGTCAGTAATATACTGAGTAATTACTTGTCATTAACAATCTTAATTTTCAAACGTCTTTCTGTGTTTGTTTCTGGAATGCCCAGCCTGGTAGATAAAGTCACTGTTTGCTCATTTTTGTCCACCCACCTGCCTGTCTGAGTTGCTGCTCTGCAGTAATTAGGTCAGGACTGTAGACTTCTGTGTCCAGCTATCGATGCGTGTGAGGCGTTTAGGGAACATTGGTAAATTGCAGCGTCTGCATGTGAGGCATTTTGGGGACATCTTTAAATAGCTTCAGAAAACAACCTGGGTTAGACTCTCCCCTCTAAATTGCTTGCACATCGGTCATGCCACGTCAGCAACACCTGCAAGTAAATTCTCTATTATGGGAAACACTGAGATATGATTGAACAACCAACATTATGCATTTAATTTATTGCAAAGGGTGCAGCTAAGGCATGGCTGGGAACAGAGCTTTTGCTGTCAGAGAATCAATATTCAGAATTGAAACATTAAAAAAGCAAGAAACTCATTCTGCGAGGAATCAGAAATGATAATGAAACTAAGCTTATAGCAAAGGCAAAGGAAGAGCTGCCTTTTGCTAACTTTAAGTCTGAGATCTTCCTTGTGAAAAGTAGGTTCCTCAGGACTGTTGTGACAAGTTCTGTGCCTTTAAATGTGCACTAATATCCTGGTCATGATCAGATTTTTGCACTGTCCTGCTTATGTGTTGGTTTCATAAACCTGGACAGAGCGTTATCAGGCTTTTGACCTGGATGTGTTATCGAAAACCATGATGCTGCGGGATGTAAACACCTTATTCAGGTTGTTTCTCTGCTTACAAAGATTTCAGCAGCTGATATGGCAAAAAAAATTACACATGACAGATGTTCAGAAAACCGAGAAGTCGGGATGCTGACATGTTTACATGCACATAAATTAAAGAACGAGTACCACTGAGGGTTATTACCACTAGACTAGTTGGATGGGCCAGAAACACAGAATGTAAATGTGCATAGGAGGACTGAAACTAACAGTCTGTCTGTTTTTATCATCAGAATAATCTGCCAGTTATTTTTTTTTTGATCAACTGTTTGGTCTGTGTAATTTATGGAATAATAGTTGCCACAGTATGATGTATTTAAGTGGTCTATTTAGTCTCGTCCAAAACTCAAACCTAAACTGGAATAGTCGTCTTTGCAGAGAAAAATACCTGAACTCTTTATGCACACATAAGTTTTTCTAATATTGGCAGCGTCTCACTGCTGTTTCCATGTCCACCCCCTCCACTCTTCCTGCCAACTGGAGTCGGCCATCTATATTTATTGATTGCTCACATTAGGAGGCTGTAACAAATGAAATATTGGCTTTAAAGATGAATTATCAAATTTGTTAACAGCTTCTGACTAAGCCGTTCAGCTGTAGTGGAAAAATGCTGATACAGCGATGTAGGAAGTTTTCTTGTATTTGTAGGTAATCGTCTGTAGTAATGTTCTTTACATCAGAACTTCTTCCACTAAATATGTATGAAGCCGGTTTGCAGCCGCTGTCCTTAGAAACCAGTTTTCAGCCTGTTAACCCATCTGCTCACTGCTCGTCCTCCCCCCCTCTGCCTCCCCCCTCCAGAGTCCGTGAGGAACACCCCCAGCTCGGAGCCCCTACCTCCGGCCACCGCCTCCTCCCAGGCCTCCTGCCCCTCTGAGATCCTGGCCGACCCCGAGGGCAGCTACCACGGCTCCACCACCACGGAGGAGGAGCCCAGCTACTCCAGCAACCTGCCGCCGCACCGCTCAGCGCACCCCCACGCCCACGCCCACCCGCTCAAGAGCTTCGCCGTTCCCGCCATCCCGGCCACCAGCCACCCGTCATACGAGTCGCCCGCCCTGCCCAGCACTCCCCTGCTCGCTCAGACCGGTGAGAACTGGCAGCAAACACGCAGTTAAGCTGAGGCTGAATCACAAACAAGGCTCCTGACTGTGTTTACCTCAGATTTGTTAAAAAGCAGCTTCTACGGTTCATCCTCATTTTGTTTTCAGAGTTAACCCTCTGAGCCACCAAACCCAGCAGCAGGCTTAAAAGGCATGTTATATTTTTAGGATTAGCAGAATGACGCCATTTATCAGAGCCAGAAACTGTAAAAACAGAAGGAATTGCCAGATTTTCCACTCCTTAGCATTTCTAGAACCATTGATGTGGTCCATTGATAAACCAAATCTAAGCTTAAATTCACAATATTTCATCAAAATCACAGCCATTCATAGCTGTAGTTTTTTCTTTTTCATGATTTATGGCATTACAACTTTGTCATACTGCACAGAAGACGTGTTAGAGTTCTCTCTGCTTCTAGCCATGGTTGTCCTGTTTCCGTAAAGGTGCAGGACTTTATATAGCAGTGAAAAAAAAAGAGCCACCTGGAAGTAAAAATGTGACAGGAGCAAATAAAACACTCGTTCAGACGGTCAAGTTAACATTGACTCACCTTTCTGCGAGTCTGTGAGCTGAAAACATTTTTAAGACTGAGCCTGGGATCAAGGATTTGCTCAAATAAAATAACATGACCTGAGGATTACGCACCAAACTGTGTATTCAGTCACACTTGCAGATTTCAATTCAGCTCATGTCAAGGTGCGTTCATGTGTCGCCTTCACTGACTGTAGAGCTTTTATGTGACTTTTTCTCTCTCAGGGCCTCCGACTCACCCCCACGTCGTAAAAACAGCCTCCATTGGAACACTAGGAAGGACACGAACACCGATGGCCGTCACCGTGCCCAACGCCCCTGATGTGCCGGAGACCAGCAAGATGCTGGAAGATGTAGACAGCGTGAGTATAGCGCCCCACACTGGCTGCGCTTAGCATTGCAGTCCTTTTTTTTCTTCCAGGCCTAATGTGATTGATATATTTATCCAGTGTTGTCTTTTTAAAGTTACACCGATCACACATTCCTTCCAAAATCCATGTCAGATTTTTTTCTTTGGGCACTGGATTGTACAGTTACTTTCAGCTGGACATTGGTTTTAACCACAGTTTCTGTTTGTTCTTTCTCTCTTTTTTATTCTTTCCACCTTCAATCTCACCATTTTTTCGTGTCGGCTGCTTTTCGATCAATTCATTTAACTCTTAACAACCGATCTTAACAAAACCAAAAAAAAAAAACCCATAACTGGAATGATTTTGTGTTTTTATGCCATCGATGTGTCATTATTTTTAATCCACGCCTCCCTCCTTTTATTGGCTGTTGATCTCGTGTTGAATGTCGGCTTCCTGGTGTGTTTTTTTTTTTTTTTTGCTTTTCGTCTGCTTCCTCTTTCTCAGTTTCTTCAGTCCCATTGACCCATCCTCCTCCCCCCAACCCCAGCTCGCCTCACCTCACCCATACGACTCCCCCCCCCTAGTCCTCCGTGAAGGATCCCTGACTGACCCTCTCCTCCTTTTCCTTTTCCTCTCTTCCTTCCTTCCCTTCCTCCTCCTCCTCCTCCTCCTCCAGGTGCTTGCCTCCCTCCCCCCCTGTCCCTCCCCCGCCCCTCGCAGTAACCCTGTTCCTCTCCCCCAGAGCTACGAGCCCGACGAGCTGACCGAGGAGATGGCCCACCTCGAGGGCCTGATGAAGGACCTGAACGCCATCACCACAGCGCCATGAGCACGCACTCGCACCGACACACGAAACAAACGCACCCTCTCTCGTCAGCCCGCACACACGTATCCAGAAACACTTCAAAAATCAAACACACCCAAACATTCTGGAGCCAGGAAAGCCGGTGGACACTAAAAAAAATGGCTTCTTGCGCCCCGAGAAAAAAAAACTCTCACATCCCCCACTTTGCAGAGATAAAAACAAACAAAAAAATCAACAAAAAAAAATCAACAAAAAAACAACAACCTCCAGACTGAAACTTAGGAACTTTTTTCGGCTTACCTTGCTCAGTCTCAGGAAGGAGATCGCCATGAGAGGGAAGAAAAAGTGAGACGCTTCATCTTTATAATGAAGAATCATTCTCAGAGACAATGAACTTTGAAAACATTGGTCGCTTTTCAACCGGAAGATTGTGAATTTCTTTCTTTTTTTTGTTTTTTTTTTTTTTCCTCAGCAAAAAATCTGTTACGGTAGGTTTTTTGTGCCGAACGCTCGCTCAAGACGGTTGATTCAGTGTCAAAATGGAGAAAGTCCAAAAATATGCTGGTTTTTTTTGATGTTGGTGCTCGAAGGCGGCACGGTCTACACACAGTGTTTGTTTGATTAGTGTTTTCTTTGTGCATTTTGTATATCTATTGGGCCGTTTCAGTGAAGTGAACATTGGATTTCAGCCCCTCCTTTACAAGCCTACATTATTCATAAACGTTGTCATTTTTATTTGATTTTTTTTGCTTTTACCCCCTTGTGTCATATATTGTGCCATGACTTTTTATTATTTTCTATGTTATTGTATTATTTTTTTACACACATATCCTTATAAACATGTACATATGTTGTGTTATTTTTTTTTTTCTTAAACTGCCTCATTCTTTTTTGATGTTTCCCGTTGTTTCATTTATTATTATTTGGGATGAAAGTGGGATGACGAATGAGTCCTGAAGCTCAGTTTTCATATCAACAGGGGAGAGAGAAGCCGGACGTGTTTCTACAGTACATTCTTCTCTGGTATTGTGTTGCCCTCTTTGTACATTAAAGTGTTTTTT